ACCAGAAAGACATCCGGTTGGCTACCCTACACTGGGGGATTAGGGTAGGAGACAAGAAAATTGACAAAAAGGGAAGAGAGAGAGAAAAAAAAGAGCGACTGACAGTAATGTCACTGCAGCGTGTAGAACTCCACCGCGTGTGAGAGGCGTTCACACAAGCCCGTCTTTCTCAGGAAATACAGCAGGGCTTTCACAGCCTTGTGGGCTGTCGAGGAATGTGGACGTTGCTGTAATAGCGCCTGCACAGAAAGAGGCCAATCATCTAGTTGCCGCATTGTATTGGTAAGTATTTGTCTGTCTGAAGCAAATCGAGGAGAGTGGCACAGCAGGTGTTCGATATTTTCATCAGTGCCGCAAACATCGCATGTTGCACGGACAGTCATTCAACGTGAGAGCAACTCCCATCCTCTAGGGTTTCGTGAAAGCAACTCCCAGCCAAAGGCGATAGAGAAGCGAAGCTTCACGTCGATGTAGGCCCGGTGGAGGCCGGAGTTGTGGAGAAGGGTCAAGCTCGTGAAGTCTTGTACGTCGTATACTTGGTGTGTTCCACTCAGTCAGTGTGAGACTGTGAGCCAATTGACGTATCTGCCTCGCCGCGTCCATTCTTTAAAGCGGAATTAGAACGCTGTTTGTTTCTTCAGGTTACGTGCGAGCAGCTAGATCTGCAGAATCATTTCCGCTAATACCACGATGCATTGTAACCATTGAAAGACGATGTCGTGGCCTTTTTGTATTAAGAGGTCGTGAAGTTTCACAGTTTGGTAGGTCAACTGGTCGTGGCATCCGCGTCGGCGAACTGACAGCGAACACTCTAACGCTGGTCTGGAGTCAGAAAACACGGCCCATTTACTTGGTCTTTCTTTAGAATTTATGAGTTCCAGTGCACTGCGCAAAGCTTCGAGTACTGCCGTCGTGTACGTTGCAGCATGTGAAGTCTTAAAACACCGAGTTACCCCTTGTGATGGTATAACCACTGCTCCACATGAACTGATTTATTGATTTGATTGATTGATATGTGGGGTTTAATGTCCCAAAACCACCATATGAATATGAGAGACGCCGTAGTGGAGGCCTCGGGAAATCTCGACCACCGGTGATTCTTCAACGCTCCACCTGAACTAGACGGCGTAGTCGAGCCATCCGTGTAAATGTGCACGTGGTTACTGTAGTTTTCTTCTAGTAGGAATAGACTCAGTTGTTTCAGGGCTTGTGTCGGCAAGCCTAGTTTTCTCAGCATTGCTGGAATCATTAAGTGAACTCACGGCCTGCTCAAGCTCCAAGGTGGAAGCAGTGGCTTTGATGCAGGTGCGTACGTCTCAGTAAACGATGAACAATGCTTGCAGACAGTGGAACCGTATGTCGTGCGGGGCTTTTCAGCAGCGAAGCTCACCAGGTGGTGGGAAGGGGTCCTGGCGGAATGCCTGAGGTGCATGCGCATTGTCTCGGTAATAATATGCCTCTTTATTGAGTGATCTTGAGCGATGGATATGGTTTCAGCCGTTGAAGCACTGCGGGGTAATCCAAAGCATATCTTAAGTGGTTGGGCTTGAATGCTCTGAATTGCGCGCAGGTTGGTCTTGCCGGTGTTAGATATTGCAGGTAAGCTGTATTGTAAGAATCTGACAAACAGCACTCTGTCCAGTTGTAGCATGGATGGTATGGGCACTCCGCAAATTTTTCCTGCAAGGAATTTGAACATGGGACATGTTGCAATCAGCCGGTTCTCCACATAGTTCGCGTGTGGAGTACACGACAGGTTTCTGTCTATTATGACTCCCAAGAACTTGTGGCTTCTGCTGAACGATATGTGTTCTTCATTAATCGATATGCTGTAAGCAGACATTAGTTTTCGCGTAAACTCTACCACTGCACATTTTCCGTAGGACACCTCAAGACCTTGTTTACGAAGGTAGCATGACGTCGTTGTAGCAGCCTTCTGAAAGCGGGCGGGAAGCTGAGGCCTTGTCACACCTGATATCCAAATGCAGATGTCATCATCGTAGACAGAAACTTCTACAGTGCTAGATAGCTGCTCGGCTAGTCCAATGAGAGTTAGATTGAAAAGTGTAGGGCTTAGCACTCCTCCCTGAGAAACTTGTCGGCTGCTGTAATAATCAGGTGTTTGGCCATTCGCTGTCATCACGTAGGATGATTTCAGCTGTAAGTAGCTGTACACCCACATATATATCTTGCCACCAAGACCCACTGTTTCCAAAGCACTAAGGATGGCTTCATGGGTGACATTGTCGTAAGCCCCCTTAACGTCTAGAAACAGGGCGGCGCACAGTCTCTTACAGGCTTTATGTTGTTCAACTTATGTCACGAGATCAACAACGTTGTTGATTGACGAATGGCCACGCCTGAATCCAGTCATTTATACTGGATATATCTCGTAGTGCTCCACTCCATTCGTGTTGGAATCATTCGTTCTATTGTTTTTCTCACACAACTGGCAAGCGCGATAAGACGGAATGAGGCAATATCCAAAGGAGATTTACTAGTCTTTAGAAGTGGAATGAGGCGACTTGACTTCCATGCTTAAAATTACAAAACAGTTTCGCGCTACTTAGAGAAAACACTTACAACTATGTCTTAAGTCTTTTTTTTTGGAGTTTTTTTGCCGACATTATGCTTTGAAGTGAGCTTACTATATTGTGATTATAGGATAGCTAGTCCGATATTATATATCCTATTTTTTGTAGGCTATAGCTCATTGACTTCAGTCAGCAGCGGATCTATGCAGAAAGGTCCGAGTTCAATGAAACTCTGATACTGTCAGATCTATGGTGACAGACCCTTTTGAAAGAGGCAGCCAGAGGCATCTTCTTTCATTTCTTTGTTGTATGAGGTATCCAGCATATAGCTCAGCATTTGTGTCAATAAAGAAAACCGCAAAACAAGCATGGAAATTGCATGGTGGATGATAAGGCGCCTTTGAACAATGCGTACAACCTCCCACGCTTTCCAGGTAGAGATTAGGTCTCATATCACACGGCCTTCCTTCTCCTCACGCGTGTGTTGCGCTTTCATATATAAAAAAGAGGCCCGCGCTTAGCAACTCATTCAGTAATTCAGTAACTGCCATGGATAGAACTACCCGTAAATAAATCTCACTGACACATCACTTTAACGAACTCGGTATTCTATTTCAACCGAAATAGTGCCAAAATGCGATGAGTATGTCTATTGTTGCAATTATTTTAAATGAAATTCGCACCGAATATATATTTATTAGGAAGTCACTCACGGTTAGCTTATTCACTAAAAGAACGAAATGTGAGGTTACAAATGAAGAGGAGCTTCTTTTTTCGTTATATTGATATAAAAAATTATGCTTCTGTCATGGCTCCCGGGAAGAAACGTCGAAGAGCGCGTTCAACATGGTATTGTGCTTCATAGGCCACAGTACAGTGCTACCACCGTCGACTGCAGCGATCACAAAGTGACTGTCACTTCCTATACTCCCGAGTAATAAAATAACACCAGCCATCTACCAGTCGCAATAAGTGTCTGTGATGCTTGATACAATTTAGATCGGCATTCACGTTCGCAGGGTCTCATGGCAGCGAAATTTTAAATGCGAAGGCATTTCTTAGTCGGGCTATGTCAGGCGTCCGTTGGCTTCCACGTGCCGGCAAGTGTTATCTCTCTCCTCTCACTTCATCTCCCATAGAAACAGCTGTAGTCGGGGACGCTTATCTTCGCCCCTAGCAACCAGAGCAGGTGGAGTAGCAGAGAGTGAGTGGAGAGGGGGAGCGTGCTATGATGTGTGAGGGTGCCCTCATCGCGGGAGCTCGGTGGAGCTTCCGCGTGTAGGCAGTGTAGTCCCTTCTCTCGCCATTCGCTCTTTCTCTTCTCTGCGCCCTATTCTACTGTCCACTCGCTCGTACGTATGTATAATTGGAGTGAAGCACGCGCCTCACTCTTGACCGTTCGCTGAATGTAGAAATCTTCCTCTCGTCATTAATTTATACCTTTAAAATTACTACGCCGTGTACTCTCGGCGCAAGAAATGCATGCGCATTTCCTCACGATTCCCGTTTTCACTTCTCAAACCTACTCGATGCCTTTATTTTTGACAGCTTAATGGGTGTTCCTGGCGGGCCTATCGTTGACACTGAAGCCTGGAGAACGTCACTTCTGTGTCACACCTTTTGCGAACTATCCCTAGACTGCACGTGCACCTACGAGAAACCTCGAAACAAATAGCTCGCTCTCAACGTCACCAATATTCGGGCACATGTCTTCATATGATCCGTCACGTCCGCCGCGGTGGACCAGTGGTTATAATTATTGCCTGTTGACCTGGAGGTCGTGGGTTTCATTGCGGCCACGATGTAGGCTTTTCTCGTGGAAGCGCACACTGCTAGAAACTCCTGTACTGTGCGATGTCAGTGCATGTTAAGAACAACAGACGGTAAAATTCACGGAACACTTCTCTACGGCGTTTCCCAATCATATTACAGTTTTTGGACGAAAGAAGTCAGATAATAAAATTAATAATAATATTGTTAGCAATATTATTATTATTTTTTATGACGATGTTGATGATGTTTTGCTACAGTGCACTGCAAGATTATTACGATATTAGACAGGCGGACTGAGGCAACTTGAGAGATGTCGAAATTCTTTATGAAGAATACGCCAGCAATAATTACATGATAAGCTACGGAGTTTATGATTCAATTGAGGGTGTGATTTCAATTTTGTTATCTCAATGCCACTTTAACTAATAAGAGCTTATTTAGCTTGTGTGGTGTCAGCTTCGGCTGATATTTCTCTTCAAAGAGCGTTTGGATTCTGAGAGACGTCACAGAAACTCGGGTGTTCGAAATTGAAATTCAAATGCAGTCTCCCAGAGTGGCGTGACTAACGCAGCTGCCAGTTGGGTGGGCGGCTATTTAAATTGGATACCACATTTGATCGCGTGATGCAACTTGTGTAGAAAAAAAAATCACACAACGATAATGTGTAGTTTAAATTATACAGTTCACCTCATTCCAGGCGGCCTGCTTACACTATATATTTCTAGCTATTCAAGCGAGAGAGCTAAAGAAAGAGTGCAGTGTTTAAGTGTAAGCATGCGGTTCCTGTTTTTCGGTTTCATAGTGATTCTTTCTGCGTTGATGCTTGACGTGCCTAAAGCGTCGGGCAAAGCAAAGCATCAACTGGAGCACGACACCCCGGATGCATTTAAGGTAGGTATGCAAGAAAGCGGGTGGCAGTAAAACGCAAATGTGTCTATAGTTAACGCTGTCACGCATGGATATTATTATGGACACTGTGGTATACACGCTTGGCTTTTACGTGGTTCCAATGAAGTGAATGTTTTGTGGAGGTACCCGTGTGGTGAAGTACGCGATTGCGCAATCGGGGCTCATGTGTGTTGCGTTCTCCACTGGTATTCTTCTTCGGTTCTCGGTGCTTACCTCAACCCCGTCTTTAGAAAACGAAAGCCTGTGTGCTTAACATTGGCCCTTTCAAAGTATCGTTGAATGCCTATCACAAGTACAATTGTTAGGAGTTCACTACGCCATAATTATTTTTTTTTGTGAATCAGCGAAGGGCCCGTGGCGCGTTTAGAGCAACACGCGAACCAACTAACCCGTTCACTTTGTTGATGCTTCTGCTGCGGATGACCATTGAATATGTCCAAGCACTTTGTATACAGTATATGGGCTATTAAAACCCCTACTCATTGCTGAATTCCCATCTTTTGATGTCTGGCGCGAATACACGCTTCTGCTCGAAAATATATGATGCCCTTTCCATAGATATATCAGTACATCGCTGAAGAAATGTTCCAAGTAGAGAAGAAAGAGCGCCTGTGGCCCCTTTTTATTTTATGTTTCGGTGTTTTAAAGATTGAACATGCAATCCCGCTGACTGTTCTCTAACTTGAGAAGATAGTCGCTGTTATGATAGTAATATTGACGACGTCGCGTTACTAGTTCTATGAGGGTATTAACCGAAATAGGTAAGCGTCATGTCAGTTAAGCTACTAGTGGTACAGTTGCACGTAGTGATTGTTGTAACAAGTATAAATTAGTTATTACCACATTTATAAGTGTTCCGAAAATATTTCATGCTATAGCTTGAAATCTACAATTAGTAGGCAGGTAGGCAGGCAGATACGTATGAAAATTTCTAGAAGTTTGAGTTCCAAATTTTTACGAAAGAATCTCGTTTCAGACGCATGAACAGTTTTCTGGCCAAATGAGCTTAAATGTGTAGTGGCGAGCAATGTATTGAAGCTGATGACTTTCTACTGTTCTTCTACACAAGTTTTTTAATGCAGGGCGAAATGTGGTAGTCCATTTACTACATGAAAACTCATTCAACCTAAAAGACACTGCAGTTACCATACCCCAATCACCGCGCTCACTCGTGTACTACCAGCTCTCGTTAGCACAAAGCAGCGTACGCTTGGTTCGGATAAATAGCACTTAATATTAGCTGGTGACGAATAAGGTTGCCCAATGCTTGGAATGCACTGTTTACTTGCAATACAATGAATACTTGTACAAGGTAGTAACTCATGTTCACTTTTATAGCACACAATAAAAACAAGGACTCAAGAGAACGACGCGGACGCAGTGATATGTGTTAAACAGCACAAACATTGTTCAATGAATTTCACTATAAGGTTTGGAGTGTCTCATAATATAATTGAAGTGTTTCGAAAGCTACCTACCCTTTAAACGCTGCTGAAGCGTGACTGAGCCTTAGGTTGTCGTGTTCCAACCTCCTCATTTATGAACACTTATATTTTCCTTCTATGTTTGTTGTAGACATTTGAAGCATTTCCACATGCCGTGGAAGCTTTTGACGTAGATGGTGATGGAGACCTGGACTGTTTGTTCACTGTAAGGCAATACCTTGATGAAGATAGGAAGATTGCTACCTATTCATGGCAACTAGCGCCAGTGAATGGACGCCCAGCGTGAGTTCACATACATTACGAATAGTACACGAATGCAGTGTATTATGCAGTGAAGTGTGGGTACATTTATGTTCTGTTATGATATGACTGCTCTGGCGAGATCCATGTGAATAGCATCAGGGGATACTCTATTTCTTTGTGTTCCTTAGCAAAAAAAAAAAAAAGAAACGCGAGAGAATGGCTGCCCTGAGAAAATAGATATTATTTCATTTCGCTCGCATTGGTGCTGAGACGCAAAACAAAGTTGCGGGAGTAGCTTTTAGAAACATCTTAGCCACATCAAAAAAATTTATATTTAATACAAGATGTGAAATACAATCAATGAAAAAGGTGCTTATCGGTAGCAAGTGGTTGGCACACAGTACGAGTGCTCACGCTCTGTGCCTCTTTGCTTCTTGTGTGTATTCTTCCGCGTTCTGATTACGCTGAACGATTATATAATTGGCTCTTTGCTGCATATGCCCTTCAAAAGCGGTAGCAACGTTTGTGTGCACGACTTGTTTAGGCTAATTATGTTGACCTGTGGGCAAATAAGAGCAAGATACGTTGCTCGGTGCATTAGTCAAGCATTCTCTATAGTAGGTATGTCATGAACTAACCTCAATGCGCTGTGAATGAATTTAACCGATTCCTCGGTCGAAGGCAATGCAATGTTCCACGACACGTTCAACGGGCCGCGTTCCAGAACCATGTTCAATAAACGTATTATTTTTCTTTTATCTGAGTGAATACAAAAAAAAAATCCTGAGTACACACAGTTATGGAACCAGTGATGTGTTTCGCTTTGTGCCAAAACAGAACATGCTCCATTGCAGAATAAATATTTATTTACTTGCTAATTACAATGAATTACCGAGACTCACAAAGCACAGCACATTACTTCGCTTTCTTGTTTGTAATGAATATTTAGCGCATTGGAAATATACATTGTGAATTACACTGATTCATAGACCATGAATAATATTCCGCTCCTGGAGAAAATACAGTTGCTACAATCGAATCAGAAGAATCAGAGGCTACTCAAGTTTCTAGTTCTTGCTGAATTTGCGCAAAGACTAGACTATGAAAAGCCGAATGACATCTCGTATACACAGGTACTCGCTGGTCGGTCGGCCTGCTTGCAAGCTTCGCAGCGGTCAAGTGCATTGGCTGCGGTTACCGAAATAATCATGTGTGTGGCGGCATGATACTTTTGGGGCCTCACTTGTACACACACTCATAGGACGTGGAGCGAAGGGTGGCGCATGCTTAAAACCCATGAATTCGAATTTGCCTGTAACGCGTGAGATATCGCCAATGTTAGTGTTTTGATTCCCATAACTTGAACTAGTTCTGTATTTGCAATGATTACTTCTGTAGACATTCTGATAGAGCACTTCTTTTTTCTGACGGTTGTGACGAGCAGATTATTGGTCAACGGTAAATTCTGATTGTCCTCGTATTTTAAGTGTACGCAATGAATCTCCTAGCTCCTTGAGTAACAGAAGAATGCGTCACGACGTACTTTCATTCTTTATGTTTGTATTTTTTGACGCACACATGAAAGCATACTCTGTAAAACATTTTCAGAAAGAACCACACCTACCACTGGAGAGAGGGATCGACACCCGACAAACCCGTCTTCACGGTGGATGATGGTAACTGGGAAAAGTGCGGTGTTATAAAATAATGAGACGTATTTTTATGGGGCTGAGAAAATCTGGACCAATCGTGATCTAATCACCAGTGTCAGTTTTGCCTATAACTTGTCACGGAGGACCCCATCTGGTTACCTCAGCTGCTATTGCACAATTACCTTCGAATTCATTGCTAAAGGAACGCTAACGACAAATGACAGTTTTGTAAGAGTGAAAGCTCCATGTATGACAACGTCTGAAACAACTATATTATCAACAGTAGTGCCTTACCTACTTAAAAGTTAGCTAAAAGTGTCACACGACGTGCTCCACTAATGAAAAATTTGCGAAATGATCCCGACGTGAGAGCGTGTGACTACAATTATTTATTATTAATTGAATTCTGTCTGCAAAAAATAGCAACCTAAAATTTTAAGACGTCAAGCTCGAACAAAAATTATTACATGATGCTTCCCTAACTTTTGTGCCACATACGGCATGCAGAATACGCTGGAGGCGCGGCTTAGGCCCACGCCTCAATCCGCTGGTTAAATAAAGTTTGCTCACTCACTCACAGGAGCGGGCGCAATTCGCCAGTCTGTCCCCCCCGTGTTCCGTTAGAAACATCCTGTGGAAGCTGGAAATTCCTCCAATGGAACTCAAGTCTCGCTTCCGCAGCAATCCTCGCCTAAAGCGAGAACAACTCATTTTTGTCCCTATCCTGCGAAATGTCCATCGCGAGCATAGTGAGGGTAGACGGCGGGCCAGGTTGAGGCCACTATTTCACTGGCTTGTACTGTTTCCTGTTGAATACCGTAAAATTTTGCAATATTTGCTAGGTCTTGAAAATTTTAATGCATTTTTTTCCTAAAGTTCTCTTCGTAATTAGGCTATAGTGTTCCTTCATCACCGAGGCAAGTGCGGTGATGTTACCGAAAAAGCCGTGCTTTTACACATCTCTTTGAAAACTTGTTTTTAATATATTCGTTCATTTTTTTCAGGTGCCGATGGAGAGCATACGGCGCAAGTTATTTACACTAATTATAAAAATTGCGCTGTAGCAATTATCCCGTACAAGAACAAAGAAAGTAAGGCTCAATCAATTGTACTATTCTACAGTCATTGGTGTTCGCTCAGCAGAGTGCAGGTGGGAATGTTGCAACATAACACAGCCCTCGGTAATCATCGCTCCACCGCAGTGGTCTAGTAAATAAGTTATTTGGCTGCTGACCCGCAGGTCGCAAGATCGAATGCCGGCTGAGGCAGCTGAATTTTTGACGGAGGCTAAAATGCTGTATGCGCTTTTGCACAAGATTTATCCCGAAATACAGCCAAATAAAAAAAACCAGTATCTATCTATATATATATATATATATATATATATATATATATATATATATATATATATATATATATATATATATATATATATATATATATATATATATATATATATATATATATATATACATATATATATTGTGAGCGCGACAAGCGAATGACTTTAATCTCTTTGTAATCATCATCACCTGTACATCTTCTTCATCTAAAAATATCATCACCAGCGTGATTTAGCTCGAGCCTGGCCGAATAAACCGGTTCTTCACAAGTGGTGGACTGTGCGTTTCGTTCCCTCAAGTCCTCTCGCCCGTTCTCGCTGGAGCTCCGCTCGGGTCGTCGCATACAACCCCCTGCAATGGCGGCCCAAGAAAACCCTGGCCCATCCAACGTCGCCGTCTTACTGCAGCCACCGCCACCCACTCCGCCCAACAACACTCGCCTGCGTGATCCACCTATGTTTTCCAGTCTCCTAGGCGATGATGTCGAAGACTGGATCAAGAACTACGACCTCGTCAGCGATTTGAACAGGTGGGACAATCCACAGAAGTTGCGCAGCGTCCCATTTTACTTGTCCGATGTTGCGAAAACTTGGTTCTGGAACCACCACCCGGATCTTCCCGACTGGGACACTTTCGAGCAGCAAATTCGTCAGATATTTGGTGCCCCTGCTGTTCGCACTGAGGCAGCAAAGAAGAAACTCGCTCAACGCACGCAGCTGCCGGGTGAATCTTACACCTCCTATATTGAGGATGTCCTTGCACTGTGCAAGCGCGTTAACACCGGCATGTGTTAACCAAATACGCCACATTATTAAAGGCATTAACACCGTCGCCTTTAACGCCCTCGCCACGCAAAATCCTGCCACCACCCAGGACGTGATAACCATCTGTCAGCGACTTGACGAGCTTCAGTCTCTTCGCCTTTGTACGATGCCACCGACGTTCGTTTGCCTGCACCCCTCGACTTGCGTGCGCTTATTCGCGACATCGTTCGTGAAGAGCTGCACGGGCGCTGCTCTTCCTGTGCTGCGGAAGTTACTTTATCTCCTGAAAAAGATAGCTTGCGAGACCTGATTAAACAAGAGATCGCCTCCGCATCGCGTGCGACGTGTTCCGACAGTCCCTGCGTGCGCCAGACGCGCACGTACGCCGAAGTTGCCGCGCTCTCTGCCACACCCACCGTTTCTGTGCCTACAACAGCAGACCATACGCCTGTGGCTTCGTTATCACCGCCAGTGCGTGCACCACCTTACTACGCACCTCAGCGCCTTTTGAAGTCGTTGGAATCGACTTGTATGGCCCTCTTCCTATATCATCCAATGGGAATCGCTGGATTGTCACGGCAGTCGACCACCTTACCCGCTACGCAGAAACAGCTTCTATACCATCTGGGACTGCCACTGAGATCGCCGATTTCTTTCTTCGCCACATTTTTTTGCGTCATGGAGCTCCACGCATTCTCCTCAGTGATCGTGGCAAAGTCTTCCTATCTTCCATTGTCGAGCAAGTTTTCCGTGCCTCGAACACTGTTCACAAGACCACTTCTAGCTACCACCCGCAGACCAACGGATTGACGGAACGGTTTCATCGGACCCTATCAGACATGATCGCCATGTACATTCACCCCAACCACAAGAACTGGGATGCAATTCCACCCTTCGTGACATTCGCCTATAATACGGCTGCTCAACGCACTACCGGCTTTTCTCCATTTTTTCTCGTCCATGGTCGCTCGCCGAGTTTCGCTCTGGATGTCTCTTTCCTTTCGGCCCCTGCACCCTCGACGGCTCCTTTCTCTGAAGAATTCCTATCTCGTCTCGCACACTGCCGTCACCAGGCCCGTGTTAACACCGGCTTCTCTCAAGACACTCGAAAATCTCGCCACGACTCGTCTCGCCGTGTTGTGAGTTTTTCCCCTGGTGACGAAGTTCTTCTATGAACTCCACTACGCGTCCCCGGCCTATGCGACAAATTCATCAGTCGCTTCATTGGGCCATACACGGTGGTCGAACAGACATCTCCTGTCAATTACCGCGTTTCTCCTCCTAGCGCTAGTCCTGATCATCGTTTTCGAGGAACAGAGATAGTCCACGTATCTCGTTTAAAGCCTTATGCGCGACGCATTTCATAATACTGTCAAGCGACCAGGCGGCCGCTTTCACCGCGCGGGGGAATTAGTGTGAGCGCGACAAGCGAATGACTTTATTCTCTTTGTAATCATCACCACCTGTACATCTTCTTCATCTAAAAATATCATCACCAGCGTGATTTAGCTCGAGCCTGGCCGAATAAACCGGTTCCTCACAATATATAAAGTGTGAATACACTTCATAAGCGACCCCAAACCATCCACCTCCGTCGGCGGCGTCCGCAGTCTTCTCTCTCTCTCTCTCTCTCTCTCTCTCTCTCTATATATATATATATATATATATATATATATATATATATATATATATATATATATATATATATATATATATATAGTGACACGTGTTTATATGAAAAAGAACGGTGATAGGAATGTTTTGTAGATTCCCGCTAGTGGGTCCGGTGGTTTTTCGGGAGGACAACGAAGCAGGCATCTTGCTGTACAGCTGATCCTGAATACGCTCTTTTCGCTGCCGTAAGCTGCTGTCATCTTTTGTTCGCGTTGCACTGCGACACTGGTGGAGGTGCTGGGCAGGAGAAGGAGAGCGTGGTCGATGTCGGGGGACCGGCTCGTAATCAGTTATAGCCTCGTCATCATTGTTACGGCGGCCGTCGAATGGGTGTCGGAGTACCGGAGGTCCTTGAGAACCGACATCTCCACGGCGGGATACGTACTGGTTGGCATGTCGAATGTCATACCGTGGCCTGGAAGGGCGAGACGGATCGGCGCGGTGCCAGCAATAGCGGGCTATGTGGCCTACACCTCCGCAGTTGAAACAAAGTGGACGCCTGTCGGCAGTGCGCCAGGTGTCTGTTCGGCGAAGCTGTGGTTGCCGTGATGACTCCTCACGCGACGAAGGCCATGGCAAGCCAGAAGACGACTGGTCGTATGGGGGCTGGATGGATTGGCGCCACGGTGTCTCCCCCTGTGGTGGTGACCAAGGAACAGTTGCAGGTGGGGGGTAGTATGAAGGCGGAGCGGGTGGGGAGCTTCGAAGGGCGGCGGCGTACGTCATGGGACGTTGTTCGGGGGCAGGATCAGCTGTCGAGAATGCTTGGCGGATTTCGTCACGGACGACTTGAGCGACAGATGCCATGGGTGTGTCCACTACCGGAGTCCGCAGCCTTTGCAATTCTTCACGAACAATCTCTCTAATCATGTCACGTAAGGAGCTATGGCTGTCAAACGTCACAGCGGCGGCCTGAGTTTGGGGGCTGCTGCACAAGCGGTCATATTGTCGGCAGCGTTGGTGAAGGGCCCGCTCGATAGCCGACGCTTCTTTGATGAAGTTCTCTACAGTGCTTGGCGGGTTGCGCAGAAGTCCGGCGAACAGCTGCTCTTTCACGCCACGCTGCAGCGCCGCACTTTCGTTGCAGCGCCGCACTTTTGCCGACACCAGAGGAGCGAGGTCACCCAGCCCACACCGGGGAAACTGAAGGCGGCGACCTCAGGGGGTAAGGTTGCAGGCTGTCAAGACGAAGAAAAAAAGCCCCCATTACTCCCACCTCAGGACGCTGTAAAGCCGACAAGAC